GCCGCAGCAGCACTGAGGCAGTGCGGCAGACTCGCGCTATGTCAGGCTTAGTAGAGTGGAACGCCCGTGCACAAAAGGGACATTGTCTCTGCCCAGCTGAGAAAGCAAACTCATTCTGGCCCCCATAGGACAAACCAGTGGCAAGACACAAACCAATAGGATCTTGGCATTTGCAAAAATTTCTTTTAAATATCCTTTGGCTTTTTTCTGAGTTTTTTTTCCCCAGGCGTTAGCACACCACGGGAGACAGATATACCTGGTAAGTAAGCAACAGGTCATGTACATTCTCAGCATGGATAGACAGCCACTCAATACAATCCACCTAAAAAAAGCATTTATTAAATGCCTACTACAGGCAAGGTCCAAAATCCAAGTACAGCGTAGCACAGCCAGGAATGCACAGGTTCAAATCTCACCCCTGACATATACTGATTGTGTGACCCTGGGAAAGTCACAAGTCACAAAACTTGTCACTGCCCCAGGCAGCTCTCTAAGAGCTTATACTCGTACTCATACTTATACTCATATAACTACTTATACTTAAGTTACAAAAACCAGAATACATAGAGGGAATCTCCAACAGTCATTGCCCTAAGAAACTTATATTCTTACATTATATGGGGGCAGCTAGGTGGGACCTGGAGTCAGGAAGACCTGAGTTCAAATCCAGCCTCTGACACTTATTAGCCATGGAACCTTGGACAAATCACTTGACTTCTGTTCACCTCATTTCTTCAGCTGTAAAATGGGGATAATAATGTTAGCTAGGTGGCAAGAGCATCAGGCCTGGAGTCGGCAAGACTCATCTTCCTGAGTTCAAATCTGGTCTCACTTCCTAGCTGAGTGACCCTGGACAAGTCACTTCATCCTGTTGCCTCAGTTTCCTCATCTGTAAAATAAGCTGGAGAAGGAAATGGCAGACCACTCCAGGATCTTTGCCAAGAAAACCCAAAATGAAATCACAAAGGGTTGGATGTGACTGAAAACAACTCGAGAATAATCACTCCCACCACGACGAAACAGCACCTACCTCCCAGAGATCAGATGAGATGATACCTGTAAAGTGCTTAGCCCAGTGCTGGGCACGTAGTAGGCGCTATAGAGATGTTCGTTATTATTGCTGTTGTTATGAAACTCTATGGGTCGTATTCAATCGCCAAATGGAGGGTGGGACAACACGGGGCACAGCAAGGCAGATGGATGGAGGCAGGGCAGCCCCCCACTGCCCTTTCCAGGCCTCTCTCCTAGCATCCTCTCTCCTCTGTTCTAGCTCTCTGCCTACAGTTAACCAATCTCACTAAGGTGTTAGTGGAGAACAGCTCAAGCTTCGAGCCCTCTCCCAATCATTTGCATTTTAAAAGGGGACTCCAGAAGTGCAAAAACCTTTGAGAACCTGAGAAAGCAAAGCTACAGGGAAAGAATTTCAATTTAATCCCAAGGGCATTTATTTAACACCTACCTGGGGAAGGAAGCAGTGAGTTAAGCACTAGGGATAGAAAAGCTAAAAAAAAAAATTCCCAGTCTCCCTGGAATTTCATAGAATTGCACACTGACTCAATGTCTACCAAAGGGCATTTATTTATTTGCTTTTGTTTTAGTTTTTGTTGATTTATTCTTTTTTGTTTTGTTTTTAACTCAGTCTCTTTTTAATACAACTTTTAATAATCTGGTTGCTTATAGAGAGGAACCGCTTGTCATTAAAGACTGGGTCTTTTAAAAAATACATAAATAAAGACTGAGTCTTCCTGTATTGCCCAGGCTGGAAGTGCCCGGCCTATTCATAGGCAGGCCCCACTTTGATCAGCATGGGAGTTTCCCACCAGGGTGAGCCCATCCTTCCTTAGGTGGAGGCTTTCATTCCCAGGGGCTCAGAACTGCAGAGCTCAAGCAATCTACCAGCCTCAGCCTCCCAGGCAGCAGGGCTCACTGGCCAGAGACCATTTAGTAAATGCTTACTCTGAATCTCGACAAACAACAAGAGCAAAAATGAAATCAGAGGCATGCTAGGAACTAGAGACCCAAGAGTTAGAGTAAATCGTATGGTCATGTGTGTAGAGCCAAAGGGGCATCAGAAGCCATTCATTTTTATAAAGAAAGGAAACTGAGGCCCAGAGAAGTTACATTCAACTGGGGAAGGGCCCGGAAAGGCTTCCTCTGGGAGGTGGAACCTGGAAGGGAGGTATAGATTCTGAGTCATGAGGAGGAGGAGGTAGGTAGTGCAAACCCAGCAGAGGGGACAGCCAAGGCAAAGGTGAGGGGGCAGGAAATGGAATAAAGGGTTAGAAGGAACAGTATGTAAGCCAGTGTGTTTGGAACACAGAATGCATGAAATAAGCCTAGAATGGGAGGAAGAAGCCACATGCCAGATTATGGAGTTTTAGATTTTATCATGAAATAGGGGTTTTTAATATATAAACAAAACCCAATGCCATCCAATGATGATAACCAAATTCGGTTCTGAGGAAGAGCTAAAAAAAACCCATGCCTTTCTCTTTCTGACAAAAGTGGGCACCAGGAGGACGTGCACGTGCCCACAAATGTCACTCGCATCTTGGTTGGTTTTGCCCAAACGCCTCTCTCTTTTTCTAATGTTTTCCCTTTGTTACTGACTCTTTTCCAAGGTTGGCTGCAGAATCAGGATGCTTAAAGGGAACAGGCAGTCGGAAAGAGGCTGGTGAATTCATGGAAATCGGGGCATGGGATTTTGCAAGTTTCCCTCTGCATAAGGGTGGGGCTGGGGAAAGGAGCAGAATATATTTGAAAGTGAAAGTGATATAAAACCTAATGATATCAGTAATTTTATTTTAGGTACAATAGAGAGGCTTGGGCTCTGCCCACTGATTCACTGTGTGACTTTGATCAGCTCAGCTAATCTCTCTGAGTTTGGTTTATCTACTCACAGGAGCCAGAGTTAAAAGAGCTCAGAAATCACCTGGTCCAATCAATCAACAGTAAGTCAATCAACCAACCAGTGTTTCAGTGCCGCTCTGTGCCAGGCACTGCCGATCCAAGGACAGAACCCCCCAGATGCTACATAGCATTGGCCTGATGACTGTTTGGGGAGGATGAAGGAAAATGTGGGGGGCGGGCTTTGAAACTCCAAAGTGTCACATAATCGCATCATTAATGTTATTCTCTCAGCTAGATCAATGAAAAGGATGTGGCAACTTTGTACTTCACAACAGGCCAGGTCCCCCGGGGTGGAGGAGTCTACCAAGTGGCATAAGTGGTGTAGGAAAAAAGGAGTGGGGGAGGGAGAGAGGGAGAAAGATGGGAGGAAGGAGGAAGGGAGGGAGAAAGGGAGCAAAGGGAGGGAAGGAGGGAGGAAGGGAGGGGGAAGAGAGAGAGAAAGAGGGAGGGAGGGAGCAAAGGGAGGGAGAGAGGGAGGAAGGAAGGGAGAGAGGGAGAAAGGAAGGGAGAGAGGGAGGAAGGGAGGAGAGAGGAAGAGGGGGGAAGGAAGAGGAAGGGAGGGGGAAGGGATGGAGGAAGGAGAAAGGGAAGGAGAGAGGGAGGAAGGAAAAGAGGGAGAGAGGCAGGAGAAAGGGAGGGAGGAAGAAGGGAGGGGGAAAGGAGGAAGGAAAGGAGGGAGGAACGAAGGAAGGAAAAAGGGAGGGAGGGAAGGAGGGAGGAAGGGAGGGAGAAAGGGAGCAAAGAGAGGGAGAGGGGGAGAAAGGAAGGGAGGGAGGGAGAAGAGGAGGAAGAGAGGAAAGAGAAAGGGAGGGAGAAAGGGAGCAAAGGGAGGGAGGGAGGAAGAAAGCAAAAGGAGGGAATAAAGGAAAGAGGGAGAAAAGGAAGGAAGAAAAAACCCAAGCATTTATTAAGCACCTACTCTGTGCCAGGCACTATGCTAAGTGCTTTACAGAATAACTCATTCGTTCCTCACGACAACCCTAGGAGGCAGGTGCTGTTATTATCCCCTTCATACAGCTAAAGGAACTCAGGCACTGCTCACAGAGGTAAGGTGACTTGGCCAGGGTCACACAGCTAGTGAGTGTCTGGGGCCTGATCTATATTCAGGCCTTCCTAAGTCCAGGCTCACCATGCTAACCACTGCACCACCCCGCTGCCTCGGAGAGCCAAGAACGCAGCCCTGGCTCGGGCTATGGAGCCCCCCAGCCCAGCCTTGTTGCTTTAGCCCCTGTGCCAAGGGCCTACAAGTTATGGGGGTGGGAGAATGGAGAGAACCGAGGTGGGGCACCGAGAAAGAAACAATAGTAACAGCTGGTGTTTACAGAGGGCTTGAAGGTTTGTAACTTGCTTTACAAACATTATCTCATTTAACCCTCACAACAGTCCTGGCAGGTAAGTGCTATTATTATGCCCATTCTGCAGATAAGGAAACTAAACTCGAGGAAAAGAACACCAAGGGGTGAACGCGGTTTGTGGGAAACTGCTGAAGGGAAGCATCTGAGAGTAGCCTCTCCAAGGGTGGCTGCAGCAGCCAGCATCCCTAGGAGGAGCGGGTAGTAGGAACACGTCTGGTGTATTCTCCTAAATACTAGCCATAACGCTGGGCAGGTCGCAGAAAATTACGACTGAAGGAATGAGAGATGCCAAGTGAGGCTTTGAGGCAGGGCTGGGCAGAGGAGCCAGGCCTCCTAAAGGGCCCTTGGGCATGTCCCTGCCGTGTATTTATGTATTTTCTAATTGCTCTTCTTCTGGAGACACCTTCAGGGAAGTTGAGGTACACATGTCCCTGAGGTGCTCCAAGCTAGTATGTATGTCTGGGCCTAATCTGTCCACTCCCTGGGACATAACGCCTCTGTACCCAGGGAGAGGGAACCACAACGGGGTTCAGTCAATGTGGCATCCCTAAGAACAATTTCTCTGAGCCATTCGCTGGGCCTAAGGCCATGGCTGCTTTGAAAGCCTCAAGTCAGCCTGTCTGCCCCATTTCTCTGCTCCTTAAGCCAATAACCAGAATCACAGACTTAGAGACTTGGGAGGGAGTGTGGCCAGAGTCAAACCCATGCACAAAAGGAATCCCCGCCATCACATACCTACTGAGTGGTCCTCCAGCATCTGCCAGGCCATCTCTAAGGAGAGAGTCAACCAACCACTTGCTTATGCAGCTCCATCCCTTTGGGACAATGCTGTCTGTCAGGAAGTTTTCCCCCTGATATCAAGCCTAAATTGGCATCTCTACAACTCCCCAGTACCACCAGCACATCTGGTTTTGCCCTCTGGGGTCAAACTGAACAGGGCGAATCCCTTTTCCACCAAGACTACCCTTCAAATACTCATGTCCCATCCCACTCCCCCCTCCAACCCTCAGATGCTCTTCTCAAGGTTAAACATACCCCACCCTACTCCAACAGCCCCCGCCCCATTCCTCCAACTGCTCCTTCCATAAAGAACGAATCTTTTACTGGGAGGTAATTGAAGGATGGACAGCTGTGTTAGAGGTAGAAGGCACTCCAGATGGTGGGCAATACCCAGGGAGCCAGGCTGCTGGGAAGAAATGCCAGTGACCCAGGCTCCCACTGGTCCCCTCCTTGATTTAGAGATGCTCAGATGGTGCAGATTCTCCCACCTCCCCCCAACCCAAGTCTCTGATCAAATACTTGAGGGAAAGCTCAGCCCCTACGCCGCCTACCCCACCCTTCACCTAGTCAGGGCCCCCACAGATACAACCCTCCCTAGGAGCAAACGGTGGCATCCCCTATCCCTCAGAGCCCCCGGGATACTCTACCTCTCTCTGCTCACTGCATATCTTACACAACCACAGAGTCCGCTTCTGACTGCTGGATGTCTCAATCCCACATTTGGTGCAGACTTTCTATGAGAGAGAGAAGGAGAGAGAAGGCAGTAGGGAGGGAGGGAGGAAGAGAGAGAAAAAGAGAGAAAGAGAGAGAGAGAGAAGAGAAGAGATGGTGGAAATGTAAATACTCTCTGGGCTCTCACTCAGTCTCATCAGAGAATTGCTTTTGTACCCAGTGGGGTAGGGGTGGGAGGTCTCCACCACCATATAATACCAACAAAGATCACCACCATTCTGTAGGGCTGTATGGGTCTCTGAATATTGGAGGACTTCCAAATCAATGATCTCAACCACAGAACCACAAGATACAGAGCCAGAAGGGAGCTCAGAGATGATCCAGGCCAGGGGTGTCAAAGTCAAATAGAAATGGATCTCTGTGGGCCACCTATTGACTTAGAAAACCACAAGTTGACATTATCTATGTTGTATTATATTTTTATTCATTTATCTTGTTAAGTATTTTCCAATTACATTTTATTTTGGTTGGCCACTTGGGCCTACTTGACAATTCTGCTCTGGCCCATTCGACTCCTTTTGACAGAGTGGGAAACCATTTAATCAATGAATAAGCATTTATGAAGGGTCTACTATGTATCAGGCATTATAGCATGTACCAGGCATAGTAGATAAAGAGCTAGCCATGGAGTTAAGAAGGCCTGGGTTCAAATCCTGCCTCTGACACATCCTGACTTTGACCTTTGGGGTACAGGGGAAGACCATTAATTCTAGAGCCAGAGGACATGGGTTCAACTCTTACCTCTGATGCTTGCTGCCTGGTTGACCTTGGGCAAGTCATTTCCCTTCCTCATCAGTAAAATGAGGGGGTTGCACTAATACTATGGTAGGTTCTAGTTCTCAATCCTGTGGTCTCTCGGTGCTTTCCCAGGCAACTTTCTGAACTCTAAAGTTGTAGAAAGAGTGGCTATCTGCACTGATAGAGGGACTTTCCTCCCTGGGAAATTGTGGGCCCAAAGGATAGCAATGTGTGCTGGGCACTGGGGACACAAAGACAGAAATGAAACAGTCCCTGCCCTCACAGAGCTTACATTCTATCTAAAGAAACAGCATGTACACATCTAAATAAATACAAAAAATATTTACAGATGGAATGACAAGTGAAGGGGAGGGCCCTAGCAGATGGGGGAGGGGCACTAGGGACATCCTGGTACGGCAAAAGGTACTTGAGTTGGGTTTGGAAGAAAGCCTGGGATTCTAAGAGGCAAAGAGGAGGAAGGAGCGCTTTCCAGGCATAGCGGACAGGCTATGCAAAAGGCCTGGAGGAGGGAGATGGAATATCACATACAGGCAACAGTAAACAGGTGAGGTTGGCTGGAAAGCAGAATTTGTGAAGAAGTGGGACATGTGATAAGCCTGGAAAGGTAGTCTGGAACCAGACTGCAAACGATTTTAAGGGCCCAAAGTCATCTAGTCTGATTCTCCAACCCCCATTTTACAGAGAGGAAAACTGAGGCCCAGAGAGGCGAAACCCATTGGCCAAGGTCACACAAGTACTAAGTGGCAGGGCTGGGATTTGAACCCAGGTTCTCAGACTACACACACACACACACACACACACACACACACACACACACACACACACCCCAGAGCCTGGATCCAAATCCTCCCCATACTTGGGGCCTCTCCTTAGGCAGGACAAGTATTATAACGCCCATTGTACAGGAAGGCTAAGTTCCATGCTCAGAACAAGTGAGGAAGCTGAGATTTGAACCCAGGACTTCTGCCTCTAAGGCTAGGGCTTATTTGGCTATCCTAGCCTGAGCATGAACCATGAACAGGCTGGGAGTAGGAGGTATAGTTAGGTTGTAATGTCTACTAGGCTCCTTTCCCCTTCAGTAAAGTGGCTTAATTTCATGCTGATTTTTTGTCAAAAAAGAAAGAAAAAAGCTCCCCTCCCCACCCCCATCCCCAGGGACCATCCTACAGGTTCATCTGTCTGCTGTGCACTGAGCTGCTGGATGCAAGGGTGAAGAGGGAACCATTTGTTACTGGGATCCTGGCTCCCTGGGGGCACATGAATCAGTCACTTAACCTGTGAGCAGGTGGCAGGCACTGCAAGCTGCCCCCAAGATGAAACATCCCAGACTCAGATTCCAAGAGCGGGAGGGAAGGCCTGAGTGCAGCCTCGGGTTCAGAGGACTGTGGGAGGGGAGGCAGGGACCTTACCCAGTGGTGGCCAGGAAGGGGCTGCAGGGCTCACTATTAGATACTGTCCCACGAATACAGGGAGCCAGGGCCAGGTGTTGGCCGAGGGCGGGGACAGGGGATGGCTCTACAAAGGTGGGCTGGGGAAACACCAACCGCCTTTCCCTACTGGCTGAGAAGAGAGTCATAACATAAGAAAATGCATCCATTCAAACGAATGCAATGAAGCTGAAATGTTCCAGATGTTTTCCCCCGCTGATGCCCAAGTCTACAGTTTGTTAGATTGGTAATGAAGAAGAAGCCTGGGATAGTGGACTGTAAGCCTGCCCTAGAGTCTAAAAGGCTTGGGTTCCAGTCTTCCCTCAGACCCATCCTGGCTGCGTGACCCTGGGCAAGTGACTTAGCCCATCAGTGACCTTGGTGACGCTCTAATACAATATTGGGAGAGGAAATTTTCTCACTGGGACTTCCTTACATGGATGAAATCATAAGTGCAGACCAAAAATAAAGAAATAAAAAACAAATAAATAAACCAACAAAACAACCCCCCAAACCTCAAAAAGCTCACTTATTGGTAACAATGACAGCTGAGGCTAAGTACTCTTAAACACCTGCAAAGTGCTTATCCTTTGAGCTTTATGACATCCGTGTGAGAGAGACATCACAGGTATAAATAGCCCCATTCTACATATGGGGAAATGAAGGCATAGAGTTTAAGCTATCTATCCATGACCACATGAATCCAGAGGACAGAACGCAAACTCAGGCTCCCAAATGCATGCCCCATGCTTTCTCAGCTACCCTACGTGTTCTTCCTTCCTGAGGCAGTACAACCAGTACGGGTCCCCTCCTACCCCTACCCCTCGACCTCTCTCGGGCTGCAGATATATGTACCCCTGCCCACTGGGAGCATCTGATCTTCTTCTATGGGGAGAGCAGGGATTGGCAAGGAAGTGGAGGAAGGGGAAGGAGCCCAGCCAAAGACTAAGATCTCATCTCACCCATGGCTTAGTGTATCAGTGAGGATGATTCCACCCCTGACAGACCGAATGCAGAGGCAGGCTTTTCTTCTGGATCTTGTAGTTGTTATTATCTGGTTAGTATCTGATTTGTTCTAAGAATTTAGTATCTGATTTGTTCTAAGAACAGAGAGCTGAGCCCACGCCGGGGACAGGGAGCTGGGTCCATCTCCTCTGCAGCGTTTCTGCGACTGGGCATAATGCTGCCGGGGACAGGAGTCCATGTCAGTGACACCTGACCCTGCAAGCCAGTGCCCCATCCCCACAAGTACCACCAGCACAGTCTGGGAGTCGCTGACCCTCTGCCCTCCCTCCTCCTTCTAGAGGCAGTATGAGAACAGAATCCCAAAGCCCCACCCCAAGGTGGTAAGTGTGTCTCTCTCCTTCCTCTCCTCTCTTCTCTTTGCTGTTATAACCACAAAAGAAGATCCAAGAAGAGCAGAATGTCTGGGATGGAAGAGACCAGTCTGACCTCTTAATTTTACATTTAGGGAAACTGAGGCCTGCAGAGAGGAAGTCACTCGATCAAGGTTACACAGCAAGTCAGTGGGTGAACTGGAACTAGACCTGGGTCTCCTTACTCTCATTTCGTTACTGTTTTCATGACGTTATTTGAAATGCACTAAAGTACAGAGACAAAGGTTTCTGGAATATGTGCAGCTAGCTAGAACAGTGGATTAAGCACCAGAACTGAAGTCAGAAAGACCTGAGTTCAAATCCAGCCTCAGACACTTCCTAGCTGTATGACCCTGGGCAAGTCACTTAACCCCTGTCTGCCTCAGTTTCCTTAACTGTAAAATAAGGATAATAAAAGTACCTACCTTGCAGGGTTGTTGTGGGAATCAACGAAATGATATTTGTAAAGCATTTAGCATTTAGCCAGTGCCTGGCATATAGCAGGTGCTGAATAAATGCTTCTTTCCTCCCTCCCTCCCTTCCTCCCTCCCTTCCTTCCTCCTTCCTTCCCTCCCTCCCTTCCTCCCTTCCTTCCTTCCTCCCTCCTTTCCTTCTTTCCTCCTTCCTTTCCTTCTTTCCTCCTTCCCTCCCTGCCTCCCTCCTTTCCTCCCTCCCTCCCTTACTTCCTTCCTTCCTCCCTCCCTTCCTTCTTCCCTCCCTTCCTCCCTCCCTTCCTTCCTTCCTTCTTCCCTCCCTTCCTCCCTCCCTTCCTTCCTTCTTCCCTCCCTTCCTCCCTCCCTTCCTTCCTTCCTCTTCCCTCCTCCCTCCCTCCCTTCCTTCCTTCTTTCCTTCTTCCTCCCTCCTCCCTTCCTTCTCCCTCCCTTCTTCCCTCCTTCCCTCCCTTCCTCCCTCCCTCCCTCCTTCCTTCCTTCCTCCCGCCTCCTTCTTTCCTCCTTCCCTCCCTGCCTCCCTCCCTTTCTCCCTCCCTTCCTTCCTTCCTTCCTCCCTTCCTTCTTTCCTTCTTCCCTCCCTCCCTCCCTTTCTCCCTCCCTTCCTTCCTTCCTCCCTCCCTCCCTTCTTTCCTTCTTCCCTCCCTCCCTCCTTCCTTCCTTCCTTCCTTCCTTCCTTCCTTCCTTCCTTCCTTCCTTCCTTCCTTCCTTCTCCCTCCCTTCCTTCCTCCCTCCCTCTCTTCTTTCCTTCTTCCCTCCTCCCTCCCTCCCTTCCTTCCTTCCTCCCTCCCTTCCTTCCTTCCTTCCTTCTTCCCTCCCTCCCTCCCTTCCTTCCTTCCTTCCTTCCTTCCTTCCTTCCTTCCTTCCTTCCTTCCTTCCTTCCTCCCTCCCTTCCTTCCTCCCTCCCTCTCTTCTTTCCTTCTTCCCTCCCTCCCTCCCTCCCTTCCTTCCTTCCTCCCTCCTTCCTTCTTCCTTCCTTCCTCTTCCTTCC